TGGAGACAGAGTATGTCTTAAAGAGAAAAACCGGAAATTTATTACGATACATAGAAAGTGCTTTTATATATATTTTCAAAAAAGAAAATATTTAGTATGAAAAGAATAAAAGAGTTGTAAAAATAGAAATTACGGACAAGAGGCATTGAATGCCAGAAGCGGAAAATGAAAATGATGACTCTTTAGGATCTACTATCATGATCAAAGAAATCGAATTAACAATTAAGAGACTAAGCGTTATAAAACAAATTATGTTTGGTATGGAAAATGAGTCATAAAGAGAGCTGAAAAATGTCGCATTAAATAAAGAAGAATGGAGGAATATTTTTTTGTTTAACTAATCTATGAATTGAAAAAAAAAATAACTTAAAACTAAATTTAGATAGTATACATTTTGAATAAAAAACCAATTGGTAAGGATTTAAGAATTTTTGAAGTTTATAAATGCATTAACATAATTATTTTTTTTTTAAAAATGTGTGATTCGATTTACTTTACACAATGACAATATAAACAATTTAAATTATTGTAAAATTTAAATAGTTGTAAAAAATGTATAATGAATTATAAATCAGTACACATTTGTAACACCACAATTTATTGAATTAAATTAAATAAAGTAAATAAATATTGTAAATAAAAATATAAACAAAACAAAGTGTATATAGAAATAAAATAATAAACGAATAAAGGCGTCAACCGGAGTATTGCGAATATTAGACGACCGGTTTCGTATTAAAATTTCATCATTAATATCACATTCAAAATGTAAAACGCGACTAGATAAAAATTTTACATGTGTTATTTATATATTTATTTACGAGTATAAACTATTTTAAATATTTTGTTTTTTCTTTAAGATTTTATAATTAAATCGAATTATTAATTTTTTTCTTATCTTGACCATTGCATAAACAAATTGTTTAGTTTAAAAATAAAAACAAAACAAAGAGATCATAGTGTTCAGCTCTAGTAATTATAACTAATAAAAAACACTTAATTTTTTTTAACAAACAAACAATTATTTCATGTGTCAGTTCTTCTTGTTATATGGTGTATGGAAAAATAATAAATATAAAAGTGTGTATGATAGGGGGTGCCAAATTTATTATAAATAATATATTGACATTGTGTAACATTTTTTAACTATTTGTTAACTCCAAAACAATGATGCAATGATATAAATGAATAAAATATTAATAGAAGGGATACAATACATTTAGTTATAATATGATATTATATTTTAAAAAATATTTTAGATTCAGAGCATGGTGAGGAATGTGTTGGTTTTACTATGATATTATTATTATACAATAAAACAAATAGGTACTTGTTTAACTTAATCAACTAATAATTATTATTATCAAACGATATTACATTTTTATTATTGCAACATGACAAACTATCATGGCATTTTGCGTTGCATAAAATACTAACATTTTTACAAACCATATTTTTTTGTGATGCACTTTGTTTTGCAATTATGTATATATTTGCGTGTATCCTTGCCTACCGATATTGACGAATTCGATGCAGAAACTTGTCTTAAGGAAATTTGTGTATCCTTTAGTACGTCAGCGATTGATATTAAATATTTCTTTACATAGGTACCGAAAACTAATTTCTGGGGTCTAAGTGATTTACATTACCATTTTTGGTAGTTAATTTATGAAATCATTATCTACTATATCTAATACTACGGCTAAATGATTTTACTACGATCAACATCTGGAACTGGAATACAGACAGTTTACCCGATTTTATCCGAAACAAAATTGTTTTAAATAAAACATTTATAAAATTATTAAAAAGGTGTAAATTACCCAAACAATTGCATAGGGTTATCTGCAAAACAATATCGGCATTACCAACTTCGCCAAAATCGTTCAATAAATGTCGGCATTCACTAGTGTACATTTACAAATAAGTACAAATTTAATCAATATGCCAAACATTTACCAATGACTTTGGTGTATGTCGACATTAACTGGCGACTGTCAGCATACACCAAATGAGAACAATTACAGGAACATATACATTCTTCCCGTTAATTGCATAATTTTTGTATGTTCGGAATCGAATTAGATTGAATTGAAAAGTATACACAAT